CCGGTTGAGCTATAGGCGCCGAGCCGATTGCTCTTTCTTGAGAACTCTGGGCTTGCCTTTATGAGATGCATATTAGTCTGCAAAATACCTGATTCCTGACCCTGGGGATGGGGGAAATCATGGTTTCTTTTTTGTCTTAAACCGATGACACAAAGAACTTGAAATCAGAGTTTCCTCGAGTAACTGATTTATGGCGATACAGCGTTCCCTGTTTTTAACCCAGATACTCTGCTGTGGGTTCTCCAGCCCTTCTGGGTGGATACTGCACCCACCTCTTTTCTGCTTATCTTTAGCTGCGGGGTGCTGCAGAACTATGATAAGTCATACTTAGAACCTGATTTTGTGAGGTTCTTATGAAATATCTTCCTCTTAGCTTTGGCAGAAAGGAGGTGGATTTTGTGCAAAATATGTTCATTGATAACATTAAGTGCATGCATGCCAATGAGTCCCTCACACTGCTGGTTTCCTCAGTAACCTTTTTATAGCCTGTCTGTGGGTGTGTGTATGTATCTGCCTTCCCCTCCCCCACACACCCGCCCTCTTCAGGCACCTTGACATCTGTCAGTCACTGGAAACGTTATGACCTTGGGACCATCCTAAGCCCCTGCAGGCTGCTTCTCTTTGTCTCTTACCTGTCTCAGTTCACTTGCTGGGGCCTCTGAATATTCTGGGTCACTGTGTATCTGATGTTTTTTCTACCCTTATCGCCAAAGTCCCACCCCGTTAGCTCATTGAGAATTTTTGCTGTGTGGTGTATTGCCTTTATTTCATACTAATTCACACTCTGATTTGAAAAGGTGGCTGCGGTGACTAGTCGCGGAATAGGAAACTGGAGCGATTCTAAGAGCATCACCACCATAAAAGGAAAAGGTACGTGACTCCAGCACTTGCAGATTTCGAGAAGATGGAAACCCTTTGGGAGTCGCTTTGAGTATGACTAGAGGATGGAGAAGCACAGCGTAGACAACTTTGCACAACCTCCTTCTCCCTGACACATGCACGTTTCGGGGTGTCTCTGCAGTGCTTTGGATACAAAGTCTGTGGGGTGACTGCTTGCTGCAGTTAAAGAACATACACCGAATTCACACTCTCCTAGATTTTTTATTTTTTGAGTCATTGCTCTCTACAAAATCTGGGTCAAAACACACTGACCACACATAGCAAAAGGAAAGAACATTGGGAGGTCCTCAAGAAAACATGTCCCTTGAATGCTGTAGGCACAAGTCACACTGCAGTTGGAAATGTCAGTGGGTGGCTGCTCCTCTTCAGCTTCTGGCTTTCCTGTGATTTTGCTGAATCACAGCTCACGCATATATTCCAGTTGTGAAATCTGTGTGGCTCCCTGTTATAATAGCACGGGGAGGTGAAGCGCCAGCAGCAGAGGTGTCAGCCAGAGGCCCCTGGTTAACCAGAGAACACAGTGGCTTAATAATGACAATGAGAAAAACCGCCACATACTGAGGACTCGTGTGCCAAGCACCTTGCTGCTGTTTTACATGAATTGATTTCTCATCAACTCTTATGCATCCTGAGAGATAAATAAGCATTTCTATCCTCATTTTGTGGCTGAGTAAACGGGGGTTTGGAGAAGACGGTGACCCCTCCCTGGTTGCCGTAATTATAATTCAGGTCAGCCTTACCCTATGGAGCCCCTGTGCTATTTCTCTGAGTTGGCCACCTGAAGCTTCTGGCATCTTTTCTTCTCTTCTGGTTATTGCATTTTTCTCAAGCCCAGAGTTTCACGTGGTCGATCATCTGGAGAGACTCCTCCAGCCTCTGGCACATCTCATTGACCCCCAAACCTCATCTGCTTTGAGTGTCTGTTGCATTGGCTATGCCTGGGGCATCGGTACTGAGAGTCTAATGCACACCTTGTCATTTAAATAATATCTCCTGATACTGTTTATCCCATGGAGCCCTTTTAGGTCATGTGAGGCTGAGCGCCGTCAGCTTTCTGCAGGCCCAGAACCTTCCAAATGATAAGCATGGAGCTCTTCAGTGGAACTGAGAGGGGTTTTTCTCCTCTTAGCCCTCTTGACTCTCAGTTTGAGCCCTGGTTTTCTTTAAGAACGTCAATGCCTCCTGGTTGAACCAGAAGTGAGACTTTACTGGAAAGGCAGAGAAAGGGAGCATTGGTTCAGAGCTAGGCACTGTCCATACATAATTTTCGTTAACTCTCCTAGCCCTGTGAGATGTCGATAATACACCTCTCTCTGGGCTGGAAGATGATAAGTCACTTTCCTGACATTACACAGCTGTCAGAATGGGAATTCCAAGGCAAGGTTGCCGGATTCCAGAGGCCACGTTCTTTCCATCTTGCCACATGGACATTTACAGATTACTGTGTATGATTTATCCCGTTGTCAACTTTCCGAAAAAGACTTGAGACCACGGGAATTTTGTTAGTGCCAGTAAAGACGCCACTCGTGATGATCCCTCTGCTTTTAAGAAACAGGCTGATGCCTGGCTGTGTGGGGACACTTAGAAAATGCAACCGTTCTGCCCGACCTAATTGCCAGGAGAGCAGGCTGAGCCCACACTAGCCGTGTGTTCACTGAGCAAGTGTGGCCCTAACCTCAGCTTCTGAGAAAACAGTGGTAAAAAATAGACAAGAAAAACCACCAAAGAAATTAATGCCGTTCTTCCCCACCTGAACGATAGCTTTGTCTGTTGAGTTGAAAACTGTTTAGCCTTGCTCACTTCTCATGGTGTGGTTTTTTTTTTTTTTTTTTGAATTCCTGTCTGTTTTTAGTAATCCCACCACCAGATATCCACATTGACAGCTACGGCGAAAACTCCCTGAGCTTTACCCTGACCATGGACGGTGACATCAAGGTAATGTGGAAATTTCAAACTAGCAGTCAGGTGGGGCTTTGGTGAGGGAACTGATGGGACCCGGCACGGCAGGTTTGAGAAAAATAAATGACTTGATCCAGGGAAGCTAAAATACCAGCACCGGGTTGATTCCTTCCCCCACGAAGAACAACTTGAGTCTTCACATGTAATTATTCTGCCTCAGCCTGGTGCCTATTTTTTTTTCTTCTTCAACCATATAATTAAATGGTTCACAGCCACAGTGCAAATAAAGAGTTGGTGTTAACAGAATATAGATGCCCTGTAATTTTCAGCTTTATTGGATTTCCTGGTGCTAAGTGATAATGCTGAGATTCCCACAGTGGAGGAGCAACCTTCTTGTGAGGGAGTCGGATACCTGGGAAGCATGTCCGCCTTGTCCGCCCCCTCTTCCAGCACGCACCACGGTCCCCTCTGCTTGGCCCATCTGTGTAGCCAACTTCACTTTCCATCAGCGTTCCTTCTTGTCTATTTGTCCTGCCTCCAATCCTTCCCCGTCCATGAAGTTGTGGGATGAATGACCATCAGTCATTCTGTGCTGTTAATACAACTGAGTGTCATGCCCTTGTCTTCACAGTGGGTTGATACAAGAACACTGGGCCTTACGTGCTTTGGGGTGTTAAAAACATCTTCATTATGTTGTCCCATATTTAAAGATGTTTAGATCAAATCCTTCTGTGAGTTCAGGACTTGGAAAAGGCAGTTTTTCCCGTTGCGTGGATGTGTTTACTCCTGAGAGATGATGAGAGCGACCCAATCTGTCTTTTCATTGATCGACCTCCTGACCTTGACTTACATGGAGACCCTGAGCTGAGATTTATCTTTTTCCTGTTTCTGCCCCTTTAAATTGGTTCTTGCGCTTTTATCGTGCAGTAAGTTTTGATTCATTCAATCTATAATTTGTATTATAAATAGTCTTTCTCACATTTGTTTTTAGAAGGGGAATATAACTATTATTGACTTAAAGTAATGGTTTAAAATTCAAAAGAAGCAGTCATCCCATTGTAAGAATAAGATACCTAAGGAATCAACAGAGAAGAGGTGTACTTTTAACCCTGCCTTTGTATAATGGTAGTACCCTACGACTATGTTGGCTGTTCCACTAATACGTTTCTTGGTCTGTGGCAGGTGAATGGCTATGTGGTCAACCTTTTCTGGGCATTTGACACCCACAAACAAGAGAAGAGAACTATGAACTTCCGAGGGAGCATATTGTCACATAAAGGTAACACCTGAGAGCTGGGTGATGTGAGAGAGCTGGGCTGACACTTCCCAGCAGTGGAGCTTGTGGGAAGGTCCTTGCATGAAGAGCTTCTCATCTGCCCTGGTCACTGTAATCTATAGACTTCAGGTAGAAGGATTCACCCTGTAAAACCCCCTTCTAACCTGATGGCCCTTCGTGGAAGTTGGAGGCCATAAAGGAGGAAAAAACAGGAAAGAGACCGGGTTATTTTTGAGTTCCCAAAGAAAGTTCCTAGATTTACTTTCCTGTCTGTTTTTTCCAGTCTGGTTCATTCCTCTGTTGCTAATAAGAGGTAGCACAAGGCCTGGTGCATAATTGGTATTAGTAAATACTTATGGACTGAGTGAATGGACAAAAAAATTAAGGAAGGAAGGAATTGGTCCAGTCTCTAATCTGTGCACACAGTAAGCCTCACCTGAAATTCCTGTGTCCGAAAATGGGTTAAAGCAGTGGTTCTCAAACTTCCTAATGCCTTATAATGCTGCGACCCTTTGATACAGTTCTTCACGTTGTGGTGACCCCCTCAACCATAAAATTATTTTCATAACTATAATTTTGCTACTGTTATGAATCGTAATATAAATATCTAATATGTAGGATGTATTTTCATTGTTACAAAGGGGTCGCGACCCGCAGGTTGAGAACCACTGGGTTAAAGGATGGCATTAATTTATTTCTAAGACAAGACCTTCAATGGTGGCAGTTGCTGGTGAATGCTGAGGATGACATGGGAGCTCCTTCCTCTCTCCTTGTAGCCTGTTTGCAAAATATTTTCAATCAGCTTTTTCCTTTGGTCCTGGTTGCAGCCTTCTGAAGTAGAAACTAAAGTGTTCTAGTATTTGTTTTTTTTAACCGAAGACCTCCTAGGTTAATTCGTTTGCCCAAGGAGGTTGTGGAAGAGCAAAAATAACAGTGAGCGCCTACTGTGTGCAAGCACTTCCCTGTGCCTTCCACGTGTGTGGGTTTCCAGAACCCCAGTCATAATTCTGTGAGGTCTGCTCATTTCACAGAGGCGAAACTGAGATTCAGAGAATAGTAATTCTCTCAGAAGGTGGCAGAAGCAAGAATGGGAACCCACATCTTTCTAATTCCAAAGCCTATGATCTCATGGGCTCAGGGTTGCACCAGTAGAAATCAACAGATTCACCAACAGAAGTGTCATTAGCTGCTGTGTGTAATCTGTTAGGGCCAGTGCCTTACCAGGCATTATGCCAAACATTTTTTAAGCATCTTCTTTTCTAATCCATGCAGCAGGCAGCTGTTTTAAGTACTGTTCTTTTTCTCCATTTTATAAGCAAGGAAATAGATAGTTTAAGTACTTTACCCGAGGATATACGGCCACCAAGTACAGAATGTGACCTTGAACCCAGTCCTGCTGATACCAGAGGATATCCGTCCCTTTCTTCCTGTCTCTATTAGTTTTATTAACATTCCCCCAATGAGAGAGCAGTACATGTTTTAGAAAGCTTCAGAGAAAACAAAGTAGCATGAAAACTTTCTGTAATTTTACCTTTCTGTTTTAGATATCTCCCAGTATTTATTTTTCTGTGCATTGATCTCTATATCTTTTTTTCTAGAATATTGCGGGCTATAGTTCATAGCTTGCCCTTTTCACTTAACATAAAATTGTGAGAATTGTCTAGTGTCATTTTATATTCTTTGAAATCACTTTTCATGCCTCCATACCAGTTCTTGGAATGTACTTTCATTTATGTCCTGTCTCTGGACAATCAGATTTATGTTCATTTTTTCCTACTGTAACCCTGTGATGGATGTCCTTTTTACACACATTCTTCAGTTTCTCTCTGATTTCATGGGGTAACTGGATTGAAGGGTCTGAGCTTCAGGGCGCTTATAGAACCAAATAGCTGTCCAGGGGTGTTCTGTCAATTTATATCCTTAGATGGGCAACTTTAAGGAAGTTACCGGTGTCTCCGCAGCATTTTGTACGTAATAGTCATCAGTACATAAATTTTGAATGAATGTATAAGCTAACCAAAGTCTTACTTAAATTGAGAGATTACCTTAAAAAAAAAAGACTGGTTATGTATCAAGACAAATTCTTGACTAACACCCTGACTTCCTCCTGGCGTCTCCCCCTCTCCTGTCTGCACAGTTGGCAATCTGACAGCGCATACAGCCTATGAGATTTCCGCCTGGGCCAAGACGGACTTGGGGGATAGTCCTCTGGCATTTGAGCATGTCACGACGAGAGGGGTTCGCCCACCTGCTCCTAGCCTCAAAGCCAAGGCCGTCAATCAGACTGCAGTGGAATGCACCTGGACTGGCCCCCGGAATGTGGTAAGTTAACCAGAGCGACCAGCACAGGACCCTCCCCTGATGCTGGGACTTTAAAGTCTGTTGCTGCTGTTCCCTTTCTCACCCCAAGCTCAAGCTACCCTCTTGGACAGTTTTGGATTACCTTCTGGAGGCACCTCTCGTCCCCGCCCCAGCACCCTCTCCACACCTGGCTTAGCATCTGAGCGACGGTACCTACACCTGTGTTGTCTGACACTGAGTAGGCCTCATGCTCATAAAGGTTGGCAGATTTGGTGCCTGGGGACTCATGGGCTAGGTGAGAAATCAGCAGCGATCATAAGGAGGACTGATCTGATCTAAGTACTTTGCCTCATTCTTCTCCCCTGGTGGTGTTCAACCTCTTTTTTTTTTTTTTTTTTTGGCCAGGGTTGGGTTTGAACCCGCCACCTCTGGTATATGGGGCCGGTGACCTACTCCTTTGAGCCACAGGCACCGCCCTCGTTCAACATTTTTTATATCACGGCATACTTAAACCTACAGTTAAACTTCCACAGAACACTTAAACTAGGTTGATTTTTAAAAAAAGTAAAAAATAGAATATACATACTATGCTTTGAATGTCTTTTGAAACTAATTTGATTAATATTCTTTCAAAAATTTCACAGCACACCGATTGAAAATCACTGCTCTAGCCCCTTCCTGGTTTACTTACCTCATCGGCCATACACAGATGTGCTGCTTTCTAGATCAGTCGTCCTGAATGTTCTGTTATCTCTGCTCCACTTATATTTAGGGCTTCCTTTTCCTTTTGTTTTTATGTGTGCACTGTGGTTCACTGTGATGGGATTTGTGCTTGCTTGTGTTAGAGGCTGGTGTTTACCCCCGCCTGTCCCTGGGCGCACCTTCCCTTGCTGAGACGTGGGCCTTCCCAAGGCTCTTGGCACGTTTCTCCCCCTCCTGCCCCTGAGCCTTGGCTTATGCTTTTCCTCCTCCTCCTTGCAGTCCTTCGCTCCTTCTGCTGGCTAGCAAAGCCTGCTCCCTTCCACGTGATCTTTTTCCCTTATAAACTCTCCCGATGCTTATGGTGGGTGCCAGATTGCATAATGTTTCATTAGTTTCTGTCTGTTGCTCTTATCTCCCAGATCGCCCAAGCTAGTTTGTGAATTCCTTGAAGGGAAAGATTTTGTTCTGGGTTTTCCTCATGAGAATGTGTACAGAATGACATCTATAGTCAGGAATCAGGTCTTATTAGTAAACCTCGGTGAGGAGCGGAGAGACTCGGCTGTGTCTCGCCTCCTGTGTACACTTGGTCCAGAACCAGTTCATGGGGAAACCACCAAGGCTTATAGTCTGTGAGATCAGCAGTCAAAAAGGAAGAAAAAGTAAACTGTACCACATACCCCTGTGTGTGGCAGGAATGGCGCAGGACCCTTTAAACGCGTTTTCCCACTCAGTCCTGCATCTGTTCTTGGTGCTCATTATTCCCATCTTGCCAGTGAGGAAACTAAGGCTCGGTAAGGCTAAGTCACCTGCCAGAGTTGAAGCTCCAGGGGGCAATAGACAGAGGTAGCTGCTTTGGCAGCCTCTGCTGTGTCCTGTGTGCCACACCTGCTGCTGAGGCCGCCCTAGTGATGAGAAGCCCATCCCCACTCTCCCTTTGATCTTTTTTATTTTTAAATTTTTATTATTTACTTTGTTTTATTTATTTTTTTTGAGACAGAGTCTCATTTTGTTGCCTTCAGTAGAATGCAGCGTCATAGCTCATAGCAACCTTAGACTCTTGGGCTCAAGTGATTCACTTGCCTCTGCCTCCTGAGCAGCTGAGACTACAGGTGCCCACTACAGTGCCAGGCTATTTTTTGAGACGAGGTCTCACTTTGGCCCAGGCTGGTCTTGAACCCATGAGCTCAGGCAATCCACCTGCCTCAGCCTTCTGAGTGCTGGGATTACAGGTGCTTTGATCTTGAAGGTGACTCTGCTCATAAACAGACCTTTCTGTCTGTGTACGTACCCACCTCAGGCCATGACCACCTGGTCACATCCAGCTATCTTCCTAGAATAGGGCACCATGCAGAAAACATTGGACCGTCCCTTGGTTTTAGGGTCTCTGTGTGTGAACTTGGACAGTAGCCTTTTATGCCTCATTCTGGCTCAAGCAGTGGTCACACTCAGCAGAGCTTTCGGGCTGAGAGACCAAGTTAGAGCTCTACCCTTTTGCTTCTCATGGGTTCACTGAGGACTCCACCAGGTTGGTCATGGTCTTCCTCTCTACTGTGCGAACTGCCATCATCACTGTCCTGTGGCCCTTTTCCTGCCCTTAGCCACCCCACCTTAGCCAGTGCAGGCCTTGTTCTGGGCGAGATCGTCTTATTCCTGAGCTCCGAGCCCCCAGCCTGGCCTCCCCGTCCATCTCGTACCGTGCAGCTCCCCGGCTCCCCACTGCTGCTCTGTCTGCCTTCACTTTCTCACCCGTTTGAGTTCCTTAACTCTCCTCCTCCTGACCTCCTTGCAGGTGACTTGACTCCCCTCAGGGACCCCTTCCTCTTGCCCTGGGCATGTTCTCCCCTCCGCGCTGCTGAGCAGTGTTAGAGAAAATCACACCGTTACCTGGACTTGGAGGTCCCTTTGCTTATCCTTCCTGGGCTCCCTGGCTCCTCCAAGCTTGTACAGTTCTCTTCCAGCCCAGCTCTTACCTGTTCACTTGCTCTTGGAGAAAATGCTCTTCGATTCTTACAAAGAAAGCTCTGTCAGCTCCTTCCCTCCCATTATAAACTGCCTGTCGGAAGCTTCATCAAATTCCCACTTCCTTGCTTGAAACTCTCTTCTGTTTCCAGTGCATACCAGTTAGGATTAAAAATGGTTCCATGGAACCGAAGACCTGAGAGTAGCAGTGGATCGAAATGGTTTATTTCCTTCTCAATTAAATGAAGTTTGGAGCAGCTCAGTTTGATCCTGCCATTGCCTGTGTGATTCACCTTCAAGGTCACCCTGTGGTCCAAGAGCCTCCTGACATCACTGCCAGGAACTCTAAGCCAGGCAGCAGCAAGGCAGAAAGAGCAGCTTGTACCTCCCTTGCAAGGAGCCCTCTGGAGCTTCCCATGTGACGCTTTGTCTCTGTTTCATTGGCTTGCCAGCTTGTCCCGGGGCCTCTCTGAGCTTGCAGCCAGGTGGGAAGTGTCAGCATTGCTCCAGGTAGCAATTCCTCCCCAGAATCAGGGTTCTACTTAGGAAGAAAGGGAGCAGGGTGTCTGCCGGGCAGCTGGCGGTGTTTACCTTCCTACCCCCACCACGGGCTTCTCAAGACTCACGGTCACTCCACAGCCCCAGGGCTCCCAGCCCACTCAGTGTCCCCTCTGTGCCATCCCCCACTGCCGATGCTAGAATGCCACCTCCTCTTGCAGCTCGTTATTTATAATTAGGTCTGGTTTTCTTTGCTGGTCTCCTCAAGAATGAGCTCATTGAGGATAGAGACCACACCATGTTACGCCATGTTTATCTTTGGGGCTGTATAGACAGGGCCTGGCCCCAGTGCCTTCTCTGTAAATATAATAAATGCTGAATGAATGAAGACTTCTCTCTGCACTCCTCTGACACAGTTCCAGGGTCCCAGAGTTCTAGCAGGGAGTTGAAGGAAATGAGGACATGGCTCGTGCACTGATACCCTTTTCTGTTCCCTGCTCTCACCAGGTTTACGGGATTTTCTATGCCACATCCTTCCTTGACCTTTATCGCAACCCCAAGAGCCTGACCACTTCACTCCACAACAAGACGGTCATCGTCAGTAAGGATGAGCAGTATTTGTTTCTGGTGAGTTCCCCATACCAAAGGGGTGAGAGAAGCTTCTATGTTTTAAGGGATATCTGAAGTCAGTAATGTTGAACTCAAGCTAGGACCGGAGATCTGGGACACCCACATTCCAGGATGGCCTTGTGTAACACGAGGAGAGTTGGTACCCCAGCATCTTTGGGTACCTACTTAAATGCGGCATGAACTTCCAGCCCCATGATGGAGGATTGATAATTTGGCAAATGGGTCATAGGTATAAATAGAAGTGTCAGATTCCACTTCTAGGAATTTAGCCTACGTACTTTTACGTGTGTGCTGAGATAGATGGAAAAAGATGTTTAGTACACTATTCCTCAGGATAGCAAAGGATTTGAAATAACTTAAACGTTTATCAGGAGAGGCCTGGGTAAAAATATTGTGGCTAACCTGCACCATGGAATACAGGACAGCCATCCAATGAAAAGGCAACAACTCTAAATGTTCAGGTATGGAAAAGCTCTGTGCTGTATTAAGGGAAAGAGGGCAAGAGCAGGATATATAATACATGTACAGTTTTTAAGTTGTGTAAGAAATATTTAAGAAAAATTGGCTACATATATGTGCAAATGCAAACACATGTGGATATATGTGTGTATTTGCACATATGGATATATGTGTATTTATACATGTGGATTTATACACGTGTACACACATATCTGTGCTTATATGTGCATAGGGCATTTCTGGAAGGAAGCACAAGAAACTCTTACCAGTGGTCCTCCTTGGAAAATGATCTGGGGGCAGTGGGGAATTATTTTATCTTTTGTACTAATGGAGTTTTAATTGTCTGCTACTATTTTGTTGAAAAAATAGTTAAGATTGCATAAGCTCATGTGGTGCATGCCCTTGGGGCCTAGGTCCGGGTGGTGGTGCCCTACCTAGGGCCATCGTCGGATTATGTTGTAGTGAAGATGATCCCGGACAGCAGGCTTCCTCCCCGGCACCTGCACGTGGTCCGAACGGGCAAAACCTCCGCCGTCATCAAGTGGGAGTCACCCTATGACTCTCCTGACCAGGACTTGGTGAGTGGCCAAGGCATCCGGGCACCCCTGTTTATTCTCAGCATGGTTTGAAGGGGGTGGGGTGGAAGGAGGTTCCATAATAGGGCAAGAAACACGGGCCTAGTGTTTGGAGTTCAGTAGGAGGTCTCGCCCCCATTTTTGTCTGGCCAGAGACAGGATCCTTACTTGGCATTTCTCCGTTATTCCCGGCTGCCATATTCCTCTTCCTCTCCTGCTCACATTCCCTTCTCTGACCCTCTAAACCAGGGGTCAGCAAACAAAGGCCTACAGGCCAACTCCAGCCTATCACCTGTTTTTTTTTTTTTCCTAATTGTTTCAATTAAATTTTTTTTTCAATAATTGCATTAAATCATTAATGTTTTTATTTCAAATTAATATGAGGGTACAAAATAGTAGGTTACAATTGTTTTCAATTCTAAGATAAAGTTCAAGTTCTAGTTGAGCCCTTCACTCAGGGGGATGTATCAACACCCTCACATTGTGCATGTTGGGAGAGATCCTGCCAACTGCCCTCTCTCCTCTTCCCTCCCTTCTCCCCCTGCTCCCCCTCATCAGTCTGTATTTGTGTTTTATTGTTTGTGTGGGCGTGTAGTTGTTTTAAATAAAGTTTTATTTGAAACCAAGCCACACCATTTACTTACATGTTCTCTTTATAGCTTTAAAACCATGAACGGTAGAATCGAATAGTTGCGGTCTCCATCTAGACCTCCAAGCCTAACATATTTATTGTTTGGATCTTACACAAAGTTTGCTTACCACAGCTCTGAAAGAGGGGGCATTGATCCTAGAAAAGGTCTCTTGTTTTCTTGTGCTCTGGCCACTTGTACCTCTGCCCCCTCCACTCCCTCCATCCAGGGGTGAAGGTTTTAAACGCATGATGGTTTTAAATTTCTTCCTGATGATTCAGTTTTCTGTGCTTACTACTTGTCCCTTCATTCTCCCCATCCCCCAATTACAACAGAAGCAATCTGGGAGAACGTAAGCCGAGCTTTTTGTCCTGTGGAGCTAGGATTGAACACTTCTTATTCATTCTGTCTCCACTGATAACATCCATGAACTGTGCCAGTGATGGAGATACAGAAGTTGAATTCTGAATCTGGGCATTGCTTGTTCCAACCTACCCGCTGATGCCACAATAAATGTGGCCTTTTCTAGAGATTTTTGTTTGTTTATTTATTTATTTATTCATTTATTTTGGTAGAGCTGGGAGGTCTCATTGATAATTATGAGTGAATACTTATAGATGGTTAGACCTGGTCACCCCAAAGGCTTTCCAAAGAACAGAGTCAGACTTGGGGGCTGACAATCTTGTTGTGGGCCATAGCCGTTGATATACTTATCTTACTATTTACTTGAACTAGAAGAAGTAAAAAAATGTCAAGTTTCTGATTACCATTCCAATGTCCCTTTTTTTGGTCCTAGTTATATGCAATTACAGTTAAAGACCTAATAAGAAAGACCGACAGGAGCTACAAAGTAAAATCCTCCAACAGTACAGTGGAATACACCCTGAACAAGCTGGAGCCTGGGGGCAAGTACCATGTCATCGTCCAGCTGGGGAACATGAGCAAAGATTCCAGCATCAAAGTCACCACAGGTAAGCAGGAAAGGTCAAGTTCTTCTGCACAGCCAGGTGCCCACAGTGCTGCTGGACCTCCAGATTTGCACTTTCTCTTGGGAACTGCCCAAGAAATGGAAACACTGCCCGTCAGTCCCCATCCTAGGACAGAGCAGTGCAGGTGCCAGTGTCTGGGTGTCAGTATGGGGCCAGGGCACAATGGGCTGGGGATGTGCTGCTGTTTTCTGTATTCTCTAAGTCGTTTTTAATTTCCTCTCCCTCTAGCTTATTTTAACGTTACTAGGGGAGAAGAGGAGGAATTCCCAAGAGAGTTAGGAAATGATTGGTATTTATCACTAAGACGGAGCATTGGATCTGAGAACCTGCACTAAAGGATCTCAGTGGTTCACTGTGGCATCTGACACGGTAGAAAGCAAGAAGAGCAATAACTGGGCAGTAGATTCAAGGGCAGTGAGGCTCAAGTTCAGAAAGCAGGTGATAAGCTCAGTTACTCAGACAGCAGCAGACAGTATCAGGAGTTTGGGTAATGCAGGCTCAGCCCCACATGGGCTGGTGGTGTGAGCTGTGGGCCTGGGGCACACTCCGGTATCAGTCCGGTGCCCTTTGTTCAGAAGAACTTCTCATCCCATTTCATTCCTTCCTCACCACCCCCACCCCGCCCTTGGGTCCAAGGCTATTAAATGAGCTACTGTCCAAATTTCTTGGGCTAAAGATGTTATCACAACAACAAAAGAAAGGCCAATGAAAGAGTCTTTACCACCTGCGAGGCCCTGCTAAGCAGAGTATGTTTTATTTCTTCCTTAACCCAGCCCTCCAAGGCTAGCATTAGTCTCTCTTTGATGAACAAGAAAATGGAGGTTCAAATGTGTATCCACTAACTGCAGTCTGTCTTTTCCATAATTTTCAGTTTCATTATCAGCACCTGATGCCTTAAAAATCATAACAGAAAATGACCATGTTCTTCTGTTTTGGAAAAGTCTAGCTTTAAAGGAAAAGCATTTTAATGAAAGCAGGGTAAGTCCCTCCCTCATTCTCACTGAAATTGAATTGAAATGCTGTTATAGAGATGAGCTCATTAACAGCATGCTGGCATAGATGGTGTAAAAAGAAAAAAAAGGATTAGCTCATGGATGTGAACTTGAGAATTAAAGGGCCATTTTCTGTGGGATTGCTAATTAGGGAAATGTTTATACTGCCCATTAAAGATGAGAATCTCTGCACTAAGCACTTTTCAATCCTGAACTTGTCTTCCCTGAAGAAAGGGACCTGGGATGGAGCCCTCACTGTGCCTCTTGCAGTTGGCCTGGGGCTTGCCAGAGTCCAACCTTTGCCACAGACTTCAAGAGCGGGGCAGTGACTCCAGAATGGGGAGCTGAGCTGCGCTCTTCCCCCTGGAGTCTCATCACTCTCTGTGCAGAGAAATGAGAGGAGCAGGACATGTTTGAAGATACCCTGTTGACTTATGAAGAACATCTCAGTTTTGTTTTGCCATTGGCAGATTCCTGTGGCATTCACAAGAGGAGATGGGGAAGGAGAGTGAGACCTGGGAGTAGATGCACCACCCAAGGGTGGGCAGGATCTTGGGTGGAGATGGGTTGGCCCCAGGGACAGCAAAGCATTAGCTGGATAGGCGTACAGTGAATCAGCTGTGACTACTCAGAGGTACAGTGTAGGCAGAGAGCCCAGGACTCCGAAGTAGTCACTGTAATGCCAGAAGCAAAGCTCAGTTAAAATTTGAGAGTTCTCACCATTCACTCTGAGAATTCTCACAGCTCTCACCATGATGCCATATAAATGGCTAATATCCTTAATTATAAAGAAAGTTTTCAAATTGATGCGCAATAGAAATATTCTAATTTTGGGCAGCCTCTGTGGCTCAAAGGAGTAGGGGCGCCGGCCCGTATACCGGAGATGGCGGGTTCAAACCCACCCCCGGGCAAAAAAAAAAAAAAAACTGGGGGAAAAAAATCATAGAAATATTCTAATTTTGAAAAAGGTACAGGTAATAGTAAAAAATTCCAGCAACAGTAAGTGAGCGAAAGGAAAAAGTTTCAGCCTCACTAGTAATCAATAAAGACATGGCACTTTCACGCTGACTTCCTGAGTTTTGGCGGGAAGAGTGCTACCGGTAAGGGTGATGGTTGGGGAGGTAAGCACTCTGGGAATATAAATCAGTTTAACCTTCTGTAAGGCTCTCGGGTGGTATGTTTTGAAAATGCTGAAGTGTTCATACCCTGTGATCTAGTCATTCTTCTAGGATTTTACCTTAAAAAAACAACGTGCACAAAAAATTTGTATACAGTATTCGTGACGGCAAGAAAAAGGAGACAATCTACATGGCCAGGACAGGAGCGAGAACGGGTTAAATAAGTTAGGAGGAGTTGGTGTTTGTGTAATTTATTTTCTTTATAATTTTATGTCTTTTACAGATGTTCTGTACCAAATATATATCAGGTAGAAAATAGTAATTGCTAGTTTATTTAAAATAAGATGCAGCGATGTGATTCTAGGCTGGTCTGGAGAAGCCCAGTTTGGCAGCCAGTGGCCATCAGGAGAGCCTTCCCGGGTGGCGGAGCCAGCTCTTAGGCTGGGGGTGACAGGCCAATATTCCATTCTTAGTGGAAGGTTCTGGCATGGGCATAGCGTGTCCTTCACCCCTCCTCCTGACTTGCGGTTCAGAGAATGGGCAGGTTGGTGGAATGGGGATCAAAGACCATGGCTATGCAAGGGGGCCTGGTAGATGGCTGGATGTAAGGGATGGAGTCTTTGGGGGAGGCTGTGGCGGTGTTGGTAGCTTCTGCACTAGAAGACGCGGAGATCAGCAGAGAAGTCAGGTTATTAACCTGCATCTCAGTGAGCATCCTAGGTAGGCGCTGTCCCAAGTGTGACTTCCTAGCCCAGGAGTCCAAGACTCTTCTGGGACAGTCTAGCTAGGAAGACTATTTTATTTTCCCCTGCAGTCAATAGGGGCTGAGTCAGCTGAATTGCTTCTTAGGTCTACGCCAGGCTGTTAAGAAGCTGAGCTCTCCTTAAGAAGGGCTAGAAAGCAGATAGCCAGGAGGTGAGCTGGCATATATTCTAAAGCAGGCGTCCTCAAACTACGGCCCGTGGGCCTCGTTGGCCCGCCGAGGACATTTATCCAGCCCGCCGGGTGTTTTTGCTGCCGCTGCCTATCCTGCTTAGCAGCTGACTTGTCCTGGGCCCACAGTTGAGCCCTCCAGGGGTTTGAGGGACAGTGAACTGGCCCCCTGTTTAAAAAGTTTGAGGACCCTGTAGAGAAAGGTCCTGTCTTTGGTAATCGCACATTCCCCTTTCTTACCCTATTGCCAGAGTCCTCGGTGATCTGGATTCATAATCAGTCAAATCCCATTACAGCAAACTATGGCCGAATTATCCATATTCTTTATTGCGTTTAATATTGCCTGAGACAAGTGAACTGCCCACCAGCACCTTGAGCCTGAGTTTGTTAAAATGGTTTTCCATAGGGCCACAGTTTTCAATTCCACAGTGCAGCTCCTAAGTGGGCGTGGTAGTTATTTGAGACATCAGGGATGGGAAAATTTCCATTTTCTGAATTCAGTATCTTGGTGATAACGTGGAAGGAACTAGTGAGAAACCCAGTGTGCTTTAGCGTCTATAAAAGCCCGCGATGAGGAGCTCCCGTAAAGTCGGAACCAGTAATAGAAGCTGTCAGATTCCTCGGCATCTTCCTGAGCAATCTCTTGCGTTTGTTTCCAGGGCTATGAAATACGCATGTTCGATAGTGCCATGAACATCACAGCTTACTTGGGGAATACTACTGACAATTTCTTTAAAATTTCCAACCTGAAGATGGGTCATAATTACAGCTTCACTGTCCAAGCAAGATGCCTTTTTGGCAGCCAGATCTGTGGGGAGCCTGCCGTTCTGCTCTATGACGAACTGGGGTCTGGTGAGTCACCGCTGCTGCCAAGTTTTGTGTTCAGTTCTGGGAACATTGCAGGACTATACAGGAGAGCCTCTGTCACTTGACCACCCAAGGAAACTGTAAACAAACTGGTCAACATAAGGAACTGGGCCTACTGCGCTGATATGTACACGTGGTGTGTGTCCAGTCTGTGAAAATTAGGTCAATTTAAGAAGGTAGTCAGTCAGTGTAGGGAGGTGGTCAATTATGGAGGTTCTATTGAATTGTGGTTTGATGACCATGTGTCTTTCTAAGACATTTAAAATATTCTTTCAGCTCAAAAGAAAATGTATGATGATTTATGTATCAGTGTAGTCAGGTACTGATTTATTTAATAAGTATTTTCTGAAGCAGGTGTGATGCCAGTGCTGGGATCACGAGGTGACCATATTCTGAACGTACAGTGCAACAAAGGCAAGGTTTTGTTTCAAAAGAGGGCTGCATTTGGAAAACACTAAGTTAACACAAGTTTCTCTGTTAGTGTTTGCAGTGGTTTCCAGTATTTTTGGCACCAGGGACTGGTTTCATGGAAATAATTTTTCCACGGATGGGGTGGGGGGACGCGACAGGAGGCAGAGCTGAGGTAGAGATGTGAACAGTGTCAGGTGGCTCTAAATTCTGGTGAAGCTTTAACTTGTTCCCTTGCTCACTGGCTGTTCATCTTCCGCTGCATGGCCGGGTTCCTAACAGACCTCTGACTGGTACCAGTTTGCAGCCAGGAGTTGGAGACTGTGATTTTACAGGACTTCTCAGAGCCTCTGACGTGAGATCATCAACCACTAACTGATTTTACAGCCCTTCCCTTTTCTAAGCTGTCAGCTCAGGACCAGCATTTGGCCTGGAACTCCTGTCTTAGGGACGCTCAGAGATAATAGTATTGGGACATCCTAGTGTCAGAGAAGAGGACTTTTCGATTTATACAGAAACTCTGCTTCTATTGTAATACCTTGGCCAGGATTTCAACACCTTTTGCCACTGGTCTTTTTAGTTCTGTTTACTCCCAGCCAAGAACTAACCAGTGCCCAACCCAGAATCTTGTGTTACGAGTTGTTGAATGTCCTACCACCTAAGCGTCCCAGCGTGTGATCTTGTGTGGTATTTATCCCTGGCACCCGTCTGAAAAAGCTGAAAGAGGGAAACATTGCCTGCCACCTCCCTTTGGGGAATCATAGTATATTAGAGGTTCTGAGAAGGTTCTACCAAAACAAACAAACAAATAAAAAAAAACCCAAATATCAAAACTCTTGCTGAGCTACCACTTCTTAAATAGAGCCCCGTGTTTGTGCCAAACCAATTAGCAACTTGTGAAATATACTTTGGGAAAACCTGTTGTGAGGCCCCCTACGAGCACCTTTATGAACCCAAGGTTGTGGGCACAAGGACCTGCTTGTTGGGCCTCTAGGCCTGCACCTTCTGCACCTTGCCCTGGATATCCGCTTTCCCCTTGGGAGTGGGGCAGGGATGGGAGCTCATTCCTTCCTGTTGCCTTCTCCGTGCTGGTGTCCTCTGAATGCATTGCCTTTGATTTACCACTGCAATGTCGGGATAGATTAGGACACAGTAAAAAAGATTTTGCTGGAGATTTTCTGGCAAGGAGATAATGAAAGAATTTAAATACAGGCATGAATGGTTCGATAAGCTGTGTAAGGTAAGGCTGCTCTCTGGCCCTTCTTTATAACACCCTGTCGGGATGAGACCCCAGGTAGCTACGGAGCTTTCTCCATGAGACAGAGGCCTGGCCTGTACCGTCTCCTATTCCAGGGAGCAGCCCCAAGCCTGCTGAGTCTTCTCGTGGACACTTAGACCAAGGAGGGTCTACTCTGCTGCTTTTGCTAAAATCTGATTCCCAAATTTCACTTTCCTGCCTCAAGTTCAGACTTTCCTTGGGGTTTTCACCATAAAAAGTCTATTCCTTTCAAGGAGACTGGCCCCAACCCAGCAGGGTGGGAGGTGGGGGATGGCTTTGCCCTTGTGCCCTTGAGATACAAATTTATTAGTAAATCGGAGGCAGATGTTTAAGACAGTGGGAAGGGGGCACTGTTGTTAGGTTATAAACACCCAAATGGGTTTGCAAAGAGCTTTAAAAAATGTTAAATATATATGGAAACTTCTTTCTTTCTCTTTTTTTACTTAAGTAAAAAAACCTCATAAAACTTCACGAGCTGTTAAGTCGGTATTGTAGTAAAGGAATCTCGTTTGTATCACTTAATGGAGCTTCAGGTAATTGCAGTTCAGAGTGACTTTGGTGCCAAGTAGGGGGAAATAATTGCAATCTCGTTAATTAGTGGTCTGATTTCACATCCTCTTATGTAAGGCAAGCAAGTGGTCTTAAGTAATAATGCTAATGAAATCAATGTTGATACCCCAACAAAGGTCTCCCTTCCAAGAGATTATCTAAATAACCAACAAGGCAGTGATTAGGAGTCTAATGTAATTACCGTATTTGCATGCACAAGGCCCTTGGTCTATCAGCTCATGGCAAGTAGTCGGGAAATAATCAGGCATCATGCACGTGCAGGAATGTGTCACCCCAGACAGGCGGTTTGGGTAGCTGTTGCCAACTCCTAGCTTTTTTGGTGTGGGGCCTTGAGGAGTTGCCTGGTTCATTCTCTTGCCCTCAGGTAGGCTTATTGGTGGGAACTTTGCTTTGGCAGGTGGAGATGCATCGGCGATTCAGGCTGCCAGATCTACGGATGTTGCCGCGGTGGTGGTGCCCATTTTGTTCCTGATTCTGCTAAGCCTGGGGGTCGGGTTTGCCATCCTGTACACAAAGCACCGGAGGCTACAGAGCAGCTTCACTGCTTTTGCCAACAGCCACTACAGCTCCAGGCTGGGCTCAGCTATCTTCTCCTCTGGGGATGACCTGGGTAAGTGGGCAGGGGAATTGGGTTCTTCATCCCGGGACAGACACCCCCATCCACCCTGCAAAAGCCCAGGGCTTCAGCAATACCTGGTTTCAACTCATCTTTTGACACCAGAGAATTATTCCTGAAGCTGTGATTCTACTGCTTTGGGTTAAAACCAGTCGGGGACCATAGCTTTTCACTTTTAAGTTAAAAATTTGAATTTAAATCTTAAAGTGCACGTTCTCGATCATACAATTCTGGCCTGAAACAGGGAGCAGCTTTATGGAAGAAATGGTAGGAACTTGTCTTGCCCAGGAAGGATAGACAGGCCCCGGGGAGGGTGCTGACGTATGGGAAAATTCTCGAGAATGGCCAACCTCTCTGTCATCCTTCACAGACCTGGAGGTCTGACATCCCTGGGGATCCTAGTCCGGATGAAAAGTAATTAATGCCTTCCTAGTTGGCTACTATCGAAAGAGGCCCTTTCCATCTTACGGTTCCTCTTTCCAGTCGACAGTGTAACTGTACCAGCCATTCTTTTATGTATCGGTAACACATAGCAAGGGTGAAAAATGGAAATTTCCCCGTTTGAATTCCTTACAGGCTGAACTTCCTGAACACTGATAAAGCTGTTGGCTGTGCCTGTAAGAAAGTGGGTGTGTTGAAACACCTGCCCAAACTCAGACTGCTGCATGGGAGTTAATTTTTTCTGTAAACTCGTTATAAATTATTTTTCCTTGTTTATGAAGGCATGCGTATATCCCCGTTCTCTGGTTATGGGATGTTAGCTCTATTCCTTTTGATTCCCAGTTCCCTTTCTTGACTAATAACCAAGGACTTGGCTACCTTGCAGGAGCAGGGTAACTTCTTTGCTTCTGCTCTTGGGACTAGAGAAGTCAACCTGTTATGGGGCTACACAGTGATCACTGAGCGTGGGTCAGTGCTCAGTTACGCAGGATTGTACTGGGGCTGGTTACAGGGGGACAGAGAGTAGTCTGGGAAGCTGTCCTCATAATACTTAAACTCCTCCAAGGTATTTGTCCTTGATCAGTTTGGGTCCAAAAGAGAAGACAGGCAGTGAAGTTCACTGTCCTATGTGGGGTGTAATAACTCAAGTTGCTGAAGTCAAATCACCTATTTAGCTAGGTAATGAGATTCTTTTTCATAAAAGCTTTGCTTTCTTTATTTGGTTAAGTTCAAAGTACTATTAAATAAGCTTAGGCATCCATTGATGGGGAGAAGGTGGACAGGAGTGACAGAGGGAAGCTGGGCTGGGTTTTAGAACTGATGATCATAGCCGGCTGTGGTGTTGACTTTCCCAGCTGGGGGGTCATGATAGAGTTGGAAGGGTCATGGGGTCAGGTAAAAGTGTGCTGGAACTCACCAAGGTCTGACTGTTTTGTCTTTAGGGGAAGATGATGAAGACGCTCCCATGATAACTGGATTTTCAGATGACGTCCCCATGGTGATAGCCTGAAAGAGCTTTCCTCACTAGAAACCAAATGGTGTAAATATTTTATTTGATAAAGATAGTTGATGGTTTATTTTAAAAGATGCACTTTGAGTTGCAATATGTTATTTTTATATGGGCCAAAAACAAAAAATAGGGGGGGAAAAAAAGGAAAGAAAGGAATGAATAAACTTTGTAGTCATCAACTGTGAACTTCAAGCCAGGTTGATTTTAGTAACCAAATTGCTTTGATTTGACATTAATGTAGTCTTACAGGGCTGTGCTTGCTGGGCATGCTTGTAAGTCTGTGAGATAATTTTGGTTCAGTCAATTGGCCGTTCTCTTTATTTTTCTAAGACACGGAAATGTATTTAATAAAAACCTCAAGAGAGAGTGATGGATGGAATCCCTTCTCCTTGAAAGCGTGCTCATATTTTAAATGTTGCTTGGATTAAGTTTACATGAGAATGTTTGGGTGTATTATGGGGGAAGGTTTTTTTTATGTTATTTTGTTAATTTATTGGGACTCTGTGTAAGGCCAGACTTCAGTGTCGTCAGATACCGTATGTGTCTCACCCATGGGGTTAGGGGTGGGGAACAGAAGTGTTTTTGGCTGCCGTGCCGGAAGCAATCCCTTTCTGTTCACTTACACGTCACGTAATGGTCTTTAGCAGGAGAAAGCTCTGAGTCATTGCTGGATTTCAATTAGAAAGAGCCACAGCTTGGGAAGCCCCGCCAGGCAGCAGCTTCCTGTCTCATATTAACTGATGGAATTTTCCTGTACATCCCTCTGTACCAGATGTAGCATCGAAAGCTACAAAATGACACTGCTTTCTTATACACTGGTTTCATCATCATTGCAAAACCTTGGTTGTGGGAGAGAGTTCTAGATCTGGGCCGTGACAGGTACGCCGGCAAATGCGGCGTGCCATTTTTCCAGTTTTTGGATTTTGCTTACCACTATAGAGAGTCTTGAATGTAAAATTTTGTGTTGGGGTTCAGGTGGCCGCTTACTGTCTTTAAAAATCCATCCTGATATGTGCAGTCATTTTGAATTGGGTCAGTGCCTTCTCTCTCTCTCTCTTTTTTTTTTTTCCTTTCTTCCAACTCCCTCACCTGTGCCCCCACCCAATCTAACAAAAAGATACTCCACACTGTCTCAGAGACAGCGGGGATCTGGAAGTTAGAGACCACTCTATGCAATCCACAATAGCAACAACGAGAGTTGTTCATGTATTTTCTCTGTAAAATGAATCTACTGTTTTTCTTTTGCTTTTAAAATGCCCCCACTGTATTCTAATCATGGCCACTTGATAGCTCCGTAGAATCTATCTGGACTGACCCTGTAGAGTTAGTGTTGTAGCCCCCAGCGTCTCGCGTTGTTGTGACTTGTACTGTATGAACCTCTGCAGAGATTCCTCCCCCTGAGGAGCAGTGAGCTCTGGGAATATTCCAAAGTCACGCCTCGGAACCTGTGTCCTTTCCATGCAAGCTTTGTGAACCCCCCGCCGCCTTCGATGCCATGTAGCACCTTCTCACAGTGTTTGGTATCATTCTTGGGTGATAGGAAAACAAAGAGCCAATGAAATGTTTGCATTTTTTAAATATTTATGTATTTGTTTTAGACGAGGAGTGTTTTAAACTGTAGACATTTAGTGTGCCATGTGGGTGGGGCCGTATTTCCTTTTAACAAGTGTGGTGAGCCTTCTTCCTGCCACGATTTTCTCTTTCCTGTCGTTCTCCTTGTTAGGTGTTGAGTTTTAAAGACTGGAATCTCTTTGGCTTTAGCGTTTCTTATCCTGGAGTTTTGTTCAAACCTCCGAGCCCTACCACCCCTCCTTCCATAAGCTCTTCAAGTAGCTGAAAGATTAACAATCTGGTGGGAGGCAAGTCGTTTAATTGAACCACTAGAAAGTGTATTTTCTTCTTCTTCTTCTTTTTTTTCTTTCCTGCCAACTTCTTGGTGGCATTTGTAAAAAGCTATGATATAAAAGGCTCTGAGATGTTATTTTCAATTATTCCACAGGCAAAGCCTATTTTACAGAGCATATGTCTGCAGTTGGCAGCTTGGGCTATTTCGAGCATCCACTTCTAGTTACCAGTGCCTCCCAATGCTTAGGACACAGTACTGTATGGACTGGCCATCACCCCTCTCCTTGGAAAATGCCACTGTGCTGTTTGAAAAATAAAAAAAAGCAGCCTTTTAGGGCTAGAGTATTTTATATAAACAGAAGAGCTAAGTTCCTAAAGACTAAGCGAGATAGTTGCAGCTATGTAATTGTATATTTTTTATGAACTTTTGAAGCACGCACTCCTGTTTCCTTCTGCCTAGCTTTGTGGGCATTTCATGTATGTGTGCTGTCTGCAAGAGTCCAGAGGTTGGAGTGACAATAGGAAATGGAAACAGATACTTCATGCAGCCTTTGAAGGTGACCAGATAACTGTCTTCCCTGTGACGAGTTGGAGCCCTTGGTTACTTGTGAAGACGGGGCTTTTGTACCTGGATGGAGACGCCACCTTGGAAAGTTTACACGGCACAGGGAAAAGATCTGATTCTCTGCCAGGTTCCATTGGGTTGTCAGAGGCCAGCAGCCATGTGGACCACCTTGGGCCACCAGGATTTGTGTGAGTTTTCTCTGGAAGCTGATTTTGTTCTTGGATGTATTGGACTTTATGAGATAAGGGTCCATGTGGATAGAATGATGGAGAGAAGAGTTCTGCAGAGGATTCCAGGGAGAGACCGTGTCTATGCAGAACTGTTTCCAGACAGGTGACAAGCTCCAGTAACTACTGGCTACCCTGGCAAGCAGGGTGAATAGTTATGATTGTGGGTAACTGGCTAAAACTTATGACTTTTGGAAAAGTGTTTCTTGGGGTTCTGTCTCTGGCAGGATCACTGGGGATATTTGGGTGGTGTGAATGGGGGACACAGGACTTGGTGTTCTCCCCTACCCCTTAGATGAAGGTATACTGAACAATTTAGAGAATGTGACCTTTTTCAAAGCAGTGGCCATTTGGGGGGAACGTCAGAGATCAAATAATATGGTGAGCCCCATGTAGATAAGCACCCACTTTTCCTTGAGGGGTCTTGCCTTGACATACCTGCCCAGTGGTCATCCAGCAAGTAGGATTATTTTTTCAGTCCTTCTTTAGGGGCAGAAACCCTATCCCCCAGTCATGGTGAATCTTTGAGGATTCTTTTCCTTCAGCAGACAGTTGGGGGCAATCCCAAAGAGAAGGGATCCATAGACAGAAACAAACTGGATACCACCGGAATCGACTCTAAAGCTCTGTGCAGAACTTTCCGCGGGGATTGTATTTTGACCTTCTTACGATGTTATTTTTCTGAACTGGAGTGTGTGCTGCCTTTCAGGTACAATTTTTGTGTAATAAAAGCCAGTGCATTAAGTTTCTATAGACTACTTTCTATGCAAGACTGAGATATGGAATAGATAGCAAGGGATATGTACTGTTGGGTACGCAGACAATGAATTGGTTTTCAGAAGGAATACCACCACCGAACATGGGTCGAGGGAGGATAGATTACATGTATGTTTCTGCCCACTAATTTTGAGCAGCCATATTATGAATTAAATCATCAGAGCCAAGTAATAACCCAAGAATGGTATTAGTTTCATGTGTAATAGCTGAAATGGGATAAGCATGAATGCCGGAGTGGAACATTATCCTCAGATATTCCATGTCACTTCTCATTTAAAGACTCTTGTTACGAATTATTAGAAACTTTAGGCAACGTGAAAAGTATTCGCAGCAAAATAAAGACCTATTTTGCTCTTATTTAAAGTGAAACACTGTATAACTTCTCTCCAAAGTGAAATTAGGTGTTTATAATTTCAATTGCCTGGATAAGTTTCCAAGTCACTGATTTCTGCTGAAGATTTTACTATATTGTTGCATAATTTTAAGATAATTTTTGTCTCAATGTCAACTTTTTTCACTGAATAAAAATTTAACTGGGTCAAGGAAGCACCTATTTGAAAATCTGCTCTGTGTGTGTCTCGAGTCGTTCTTTTTGAGTGCAATAAAGATGGCTAACCAGTCTCCAAATACCATTTCATTTGTCTGTTTTAAAAGGATGTTTATTTCATAGATGAGAGGACACCGAGGCCTGGGATAATTTTGTTATTAACAAGCTGGTCTCAGATGGTGGGTCCTTGAAGAACACGCTGTCTTTGTGTTGGCTGAGGACGGGGGAGATGTGGAGGCTGTTTTGAAGTAAATAGAATTATTCCGTAGGGGCAGTGACTAAAGCGGCTCTCTTAAAGCTGTAACTACGTTTGCTAAGAGACAATTTGCTAAGAAGGTAATTTTCAGATCTAAGAGAAGGAAGCACAGCAGTGTGGATGGGCGTGTGTGTCACGAGCACTTTCTGAGGTTTCCACAAAGTCTTTGTAGACTGCCATGCGCGGGCAGGCCAAAGTCGAGTGGACCTGTAGGTCAGGATTGCAGAGTTTGGGGGTTGGTGGGGCTGGGTTTTAAGCATTTTAACAGATCCTCTGATACGTGGCTTTCATTTAGGTACGGAGCCAGAGCAAAACCCTGCAATATTAATCATCCAGTTTCATGGAGGAGGGAAAAGAGGTATAGAGTGGTTAAATAATTTGCTTAGGGGTAACCAGGGAGTGAATGGCAAAACTAGATTTCTGATCCCAGAAATCACCGTGCCGCTTTGTCACCCTTCAGAGTCATAACACAGCAGACTGCCAGGTTGCACCAAGCAGAATCCGAAGGGGAGACCCACCACCTGGACCAATCTTCCTGGTCACGGCCTAGCCCTTAGGTTTTTAGGCTTAGATAATTTCTGTGATAGTGCAGCCAGACACCCCTTACCCAAGCTCAGGGGACTAGTATGCATTGTGTCTATTGGTTAATTCACCCTGGGAAAGAGTACTGCCACAATGTCAGCATGAGCCGTGCGTTCTCCCAGTTATAACTGGAAGGTTGTTTGGTGAGCAGGGGCAAAGAATGAAGAATGGCGGGGGTGGGGGGGAGTCCAGGCTAGGGTAGCGCTTGGGCAATAAATATTGAATGAGTGGACGAATGTTTGACACTCTGCAACAGGAGTAATGTACTCCATATGAACTTAGGATTTGAAACCTCCAGGTCACAATTCCTGTATCCATTTCTATGTAAGAAGGTCTTGCCAATGGGGTCTAATATTTGAAGTTCGTTCTCTGCATTTTCCCTGGGCT